TGTCGTCAGAAATTTTGAAGTTCAATAGAATCTTGAGACAAGAAAGTTTACTTTTCTCTTGTATCATTGTTCTATATTTTCTTTCTTAGCTGTTTCCATTGTTTAACTTCTCAACTGTTCATCTTCTCAACTACCGCTATTATTTAACGATTATTATAGTGCTGATATAAATTTGCACCGTAACAGTCAGTTATCAACTTTACAAAATATTGGTCAATGAATATACAGACTGTTATTACTACGTTAGTAATAGGATTTAATTTGAAAAACCATTACTACAGTGTAATTGTCAACATCGGAAACTGCTTTTGAAGCTCACCTAAAAGTGCATTTTTTTTTCTATATTTTTTATTCTTTTTTTTTATGCAAAGTTTCTGACCGATCTTTGTTGAACTGTCACAATTTTTTTCTTTTGCAACATTTGTACAGTTTTTGCTAAAAATTTTATTTGAAAAGTTCAACTTTACGCGAATATATAATTCATTGTCGGACTACCGTATCGGCAAAAATATTTTTTTTAGAAAAATTGATCAACCTGTTAAGGTGTACACTAAAACCAGATTCTTAAAAGCGGTAGTAAAAATAATACAAAGATTTTCCTGAAAGTGGGTAGAATCATTTCAACAATTTCGGGTATAAAGAAAAGAAAAAGTGTATGGACACAAAGAGGGCTGCTTAAAATTTATGCAACCCCTCTCAAATTTTCATCTCTAATTTCAGGCCAAAAAGTTCAATTATTACCGACAATGTAACTCGACAGTTTTACTCTAAATTCTAGACTATGATACTTGGTCTAACTTTTTTGGCAAAGACTCTTAGGGGTAGGGGAGACTCTAGGTTACAAAAATATATTGTACATGGGGAGTATTTGCAGGAAAATAAAGCTTGTCCTGCAGAATATGTTAACATAAGGAGAGTGGAGGCAGGAGACGGTTTTAGTTTTGCATTACTCACTGACTGCCAAAAGCGGTTATATAACTTTTTATATGTTAGTGTATAAAAATGTACGTATCGTTGGGGTTTGCATTTCTTATTTCGCTTTGTTCTTCTGTATTTGTAGTATTTGTTTAAAATCTTATTTTTGTTATTGCAACATTTTTTCGTTCTCAAATTCTGGATGTTTCTGATACACTGAAAAAAAGCTGCTTATAGCAATTTGGACGACAACTATAATTTTTTGATTCATTCTGTTCCTTCGACTGTATTCCATCAGCCATACAACTGACGACTATCTGCAAGCAATTTTTAACTTTTTGCTTTTTTTCTACCCCTCACTTTGGAGGATCGGAACAACGAACAGTGTTTGAAAGAAGAACAGTAGAATGTCGTTGATATTAATACTGCTGTATTTGAGCATATCAAACTACACAGTTTTTGCAGATGCTGCTTCAATTAAGCAAAAATTCTTTGTGAATGCAAAGTAAGTGAACAATAAGCTTTTGTAAACTTCTTTTATAATTCGTTTTTTTTTCTCGTATTTTTAAATGTTGTCCCGTTTAAAATAGCTGTTAAAAATTTTGCAACAAAAATACACCAAATACTGTTCACGTAATTGAATTGAAAGCATAAGGGAATAAGATCATTCCTCAGCTTTGTCACTGTTGCCGGTGAGTTTTCCTAATATTGGTTCAATAATTTGCAGTAACCTTTGGCAACAGAGGAGATTGCTGTCAACTAAAGAAAGTATAAGCAAATTTAAGATTACAATTTACTATACTGTTGGTTCTTAAATTTTTTTAAAATTTGCTTTAATTAATAAACGTAATTTGATCTCTCTGTGCAACAGTTTTGGCTAAAAAAAGAAAAGTCAAAAAAAAGAAAAAAAAATGGAAGAATGGTCAACCCATTTGCCTTAAATTTTTGAGATTATTGCTTAAATATTTTTCATCAATAATCTTTGGAAAAAAAAAATTTCTATCTCTGTTATTTTTTCCTTAATCAAAGCTTTTAAAAAAATATAAACCAAAAAAAAAAAATTTATATTATTTTTAGAAGATTATTTTTTTTTTTTATGATTGCTTTAAATCGCTGCTGCAAAAAAAAGAAGGAGAAGAAGAAAAAAAAACATATAAATCTTTTTTAAATTTTTTAGCATTAAAACATTCAGAAACTATTTTTAGTTACTTTTGGTATAATCATTTTCTCATTTTCTTCTTTTTTTTTTTTCTGTTTTTGTTTTTGTTTTTGGTTTTGATTTTGATTTCGATTTTCAAGTCAGTGGTCAAAAAGCACGCATTTTTTCTAGTAATAACGAGAAAAAAATTTTATATTTTTCTGAATGCGACGTCATAACACACAAATTCCACAGAATAATTCCTTTCTACAAAATTTTAAAATTTCCTTGTTGTTTTTTTTTTTTTTTTT